CGCTTCACAATGAAGCACTCAAGAAAGAAGATTTCTTCCGCGCCGAAGATGCACTTATCGACCTAGCATACAGCTGATTTCGTGCGCATGCACTCGAGCATCGCACTCAAATGGACGATGGTGGGTTTCCACACCTGTCCTCCCGTGCCCCGCACGACTCTGGACGAAGATGACGTCGAAGTATGTCTGTGCATACGCTGGGTCGGGCCTGAACAATTGTTTCACAAGACAATAAAATATTGCTGGTGCATTTGACAGCCCTTGGGGCATCATCTGCCACTCCCAGAGCATCCCGCTCGATGTACTCTCACTACTGTCAGCGCAATATCACTCGCTCTCGTGAGCAATTGGTTATAACCATCGACCAAGTCGAGTGCGCTGTACTTTGTACAACCAACCATATTGTTCTGGAGAACATCCTTCCTAGGGAATCGGCGTCAATGACGGAATTATGGCAATGTTTAGCTATTTTTAAGCGTGAACGATACGCCACTTGCCGTTCGGCTCTCGGACACAAAACGTGAATGTCGATGGGGAACCTTACTCTCACGCACCATTCCTGCGTCGTGTTTTGCACGGAGGAAGGCCTCAATGACGTCACACTACCCCTCGGACAGGGGCCATTAGCGTATTACGCAGTATTTGGTCCCGGGAATCAGGCCGAACTCATGACGCATACCTCGGTCCGGGGGTAGTACTAACGGCGGGTCTTTGGAGACGACGTTTTGAATTTTTTACCAAATGATAGTATGAATCCGAGGGATCCTTCAGGATCGACGATCCACGTCATACGTTCAGCACCCTCTTAGTGTCCTCCAAGGCAGCTTCATCCAGAAGCGACGATGGCTCAATCTCCACATTCGGTCCTATAATGACCACCTCCGCTAAATTGCCTGTCTTCAAGGAATCGTCAAACTTTTTGAAGGACTTCTCGTCCAGCTCAAGAAGAGCATCCACCGCGGGATTAGCCTCGAGGGTGACGTCACCGACTTCCTCTCCCGTCATACTGTTGGCAAGGTTATATAGCTGTATGTCAGCGTTACGGCAGACACACCCTGGGTCAGGGTTGACGCCCTACGTCTTGCAGATATCATACGGCTTCGCTGTCTCCTATCTATAGAGGTTTTACGTCTCATTGAAACCAGTGGGGACACGCACTCGGCGTCTTCAGTGCCCGACTCCCTGCTTTATCAGAGCCTTGATGCCATTAACAACATCCGACGAAGAGCTGCTATTTCCGCAGCCTTTGTCCAGTGTATAACGTGCCACCCCACGCGCATCACAATAGCCTCGTCCCCGATGCCTCGGATCTCTTTCGATCATGCCACCCTTAACTGCTTCGTAACGTGAGCAGTGCTCACTGGGTTACGTGCCATTCCATGTGCATCACTAGGGTCTCGCCTTCGATGCCTCGACCCTTGGCCGACCATGCCACTCATGGCATAATGCGACTGCTCCAATACCTGAGCATTGCCCAGCGGGTTACGTGCCACTCACGTGTAGCCCTTGAGGCACACTCGGGACTCTTGTCCAATACACCTTCGGGGTTTGACAACTCGAATATTTCAATATCCAGCACATTGACCGTCCCGATCCAGAGCCTGTGCTAATAGCGCTTCTGCTTCTTTGCAGATGTGGGTTCATGACTCACCAAAGCTCCACCAGTAGACGTGCGCGTAGCGCCTCAGGTGTTCAACCTCCGAGGTCCACAGGAACCCTCGACTCAGTGACACATGTCCCTTTCGCTATGCGAAACAGTAGCAGTGTAACTCAGCCGCGCTTCCAGCACCTCAGCATACAGCTGACTTCGTTCGGTTGTGGAGCGTCGAGCATAATTGCCCGATGCCCCGGAATTGATAAGAACCTTCCATGGCTTTACAAATCGCTTCACGGTCGCTTTTATGACCAGCAAGCCCCGGCTTCAAGAGCACAGAGCTCTTCAGGACTGAGCCCTGATGCCCTCTACCTCTTTCTGGCACAACAAAACTCAGCTCTTCCCCAGTAGAGCGCCTCGCGCCTACTGAGTTTTCTCGTTTTCCCGCGACAAACTAGACTGGTTAGAAGTGGGACGTCGATTCGACGAGCCGTTGCGCGCCTTGCGCAACGGACAACCAGTCCGAAGGTGACGGG